TATCATATGTTACTAATTTTATGCTTTATTGTAGTCCATGTATGTTGATATACTTATTCCATGAGAATTTTATGTTTATCCTTTTGTGTGATGTAAATTAAATGCTGAATGGCGGTTCATGCAGGGAAAGAACATATCAATATTCGCATATTCATTCAAAAACATGAAAATTCTTAATGGAGTACCCTCATTTCTTATTGAATTCCTAAAAAACAATATTTATAATGAATTTTAATAATTTTTTCGGATTTTTTTAAGCTTTATTCTGACCGATTCACCGGATTCCCGATCCGGATCGTCGATTCGCATATCCGGATCCGTTTTTTGGGAGCCCGATCCGGGTCACCGATCCGTTTTTTAAACCATTGATTAAAGTAGTAATGTAGTTATTAGCAAAAAATTAACTGTAATAAAAGTTTGAAGAAACTGTTTAAACTTCAAATATTTTAAATAGAGTATTACGCTTGCCCAACATGTAATTAATCTAATAACTAAGAAGAGCCATTTCTTTAAAAAAAAAAATCTCTTACTTTTAGATGAGCAAATAACGAATTTAAATACCATATAAAAATTATCTTTTTCTTATGTGAGTAAGGCATTTAAGCATGGGCATTTTAGGAACGAAAATTTGAAGCCCTGTGCAATGCACAAATAGTGGAAAAAAGAGCTTCCTTTACCGGAATTTGGTGGTCCTTTTGCTTTAGTCGAAATTGGAGTTATTATAGTCCTATAAGTAGCTGGATGTTGTGTCAAATTAATTTTGGGATTTTAGAAAGTTAAGGGTCTATGATAAGCTAAAGATTGCATGATAAGCTAAAGTTTGCATATTTATACCATCTTAAATTCATCTACAAAGAAATATCTTCAAGTCAAATGTAATTTTCATAAATATACTAATAGTTGGTTAATTAATATGGTTTACTTAAACTATTATGTATTCGTCCCAAAAATAATACCTCAAAACTAGGGGATTTTCATCCAAAAAACTGACACTTGGTTAGTTTGGAACAACATAAGGGTCTTTTGAATTGAATGGTGTGTTCTCTATAAATTAATATGCATGAACAAGGGTAGTTTAAAATCTGATGCATGACTAATCAATCCGACCAAACAAAAAAAATAGCATATAGTTTAGATGCGTAATCATGGAAATAGGCACTCTTGGAATGTGTTAAGTATCATGTTGATGGAAACACAAAACGCAGCCTTCATAAATGTGTTGGTAGGAATGTGAAGTTGGATCTACTGTTTGTAATTTTACCTTTAATGACATGCTAGGCCTGTGTGGCAATTTGCTTGGAGTTTGTGACATATTGATAATCTTGTCTTATTATTTCAAATGCAGAGGGTGTTAAGTCTATTTTGACGTAGCCACTATCAAGTTCCATTCAATCATATCTTGGGATGGGAACTTTGAAGAAGTTCAGATTACCTTTTATTCTTGACTATGTTGAAGTATGTCTTCTAGGATTAAACAACAAAATATTGAAGTTCTTGTAATGAGGACCTTTCACTTATGTGCTCTCAAAGTATCTTTCTTCTTTATCCTTTGTCATCTAGTTTTCTTAATAATTGAAACTGGTCATCCAGGATTTCCCTAATTTTGCCACGGTTAGTGCTGAGTTACATTGCCTCTTAGGCTTTGGCTTAGTGGTAGACGTATAAATTTGGGTGAGGGAGGACCCTTGAAGTTTGTCCTAAATTGAATCTGCTAACCTAGCCTTTCTGTAGTGTTAAGTCATTTTTTCCCTTGTGCTCTCATAAAGTCCAACATGATGGCACTCCTTGACGTATTCATATCTTATAAAATATGATGGCTCGTTGTTGAAGATCCTTCTTGAATTTTGATTTTAATCACTTAAATAATCATTGAAATTATTCAAGAATAATGAGCAAGATTTAAGAATGATGGGTGGCCTCTAGGTGCCTCAGGAGCCTACAGGTGAGAGATATACACGTAACTGCATATTTGTGCTGTTCAAATGCAATATATGCCTACATATGTGTCAATTGTGTACATGTATTCTAACGAACTTTTTTATGTAAATATATGCGCATGAACATTGAAACACATTCAAATCACTAAGAATTTTGCTGCTGCTTTGAATAACTACAATAGTTTTCTTTTTGGAGGGGGTGTTGGGGGGGGGCTAGTGCATAATGTGTTAGTGATTTGTGTCCATACACCATCCTTTGTAATTCATACTTCATATAGTCGTACTCATGGACTCCAACTCTCCTATGAGACAAATGACCAATACAAAATGACGTGCAAAAGATGCTGTACAAATGAAAAGAAAGAGGAGATCTTCAATTCTTCAATGTTGCAGATGTCTGATCTTCAATTTTTCAAATTGATTGCAATAAGATATGATAATGTTTCAGATAATTCTACGAACTCCTAAAATTTTCTTCTTTCTAAAAAATCACAAAATGATCCAATTTGGGTGTTTCTAGGGCATAGGAAGAGTGTTTTATTTATTTTTTCCTTTTTTCTTTTGGGTACTTTGGGGGGATAGAATACCCACCCAAAATGGCCTCACAATTTTTCTACCATTTTTATGGTAGTTCCTGGGTGCCCGCCTAGGATTGGGCACAGGGCATCCACCTAGCCCATGTGGGCACGTGTTCGTCGCAAGCTATGTGCATCATGTCGTGCGTCATTAAATGACACACTAAGTGTAATTTAGCACCCAGTCTCTGATGATGTGTGTCATTAAGCTCATGTGTCTTCTGGCCAAGAGCCCAGGCCTGGGCGAGGTGGGCTATGGCCTCCTCGGAATGTGGAGGGGCACCTACGCGCTAAGCGGGCCTTTTTGAAAACAGTGATAATGATTGAGGTGTATTCCATGAACAATATTGGATAGATGATGACTGTTTGTTGCAAGACCCTTGGAATCCTAACTGTGTTGTCCAAGTTTCATGGTGCTATTATTTAACACTGTATTATAGTGATTGAAAGGCTCTTTGTATGATGATTTCCACAGCTGATGGTATGGCCCATCATGGAAGTTGCTTAATGGACAATGTTGGCAAGGCTAGGGTTTGGGCCTGGTTTTTTGGTTGTTCTATCTTCTAGTGGTTTCTGCTTTGACTTAGACAATATATAACTTAGTTTCAATATAAATCGTTTTCTGCATGTGATTGAGTTGTTATATGGATCTGAAGGATCTGAAATTTATTGGCATGTTTCAGATTTTGGAAATTGGTGAATGGAGAATATATGAAGGCTTATTAAGAGAAAATATCTGAGCTACTTTTTTGTGGAAATGAGATTTCATGGGTTTGAGATTTTATAGGGGCTATTCATACATGACTGATTTAGAGGGGCACTTGAGTTTATTGCTCCCTCTGAAATAGTTTTGTGAATTTCGGGGTTTTTTTGAAATGCCGGAATGATAGGTGGAGAGAGAATTTGTTGAAGTGGTCAAAATGGGGTTGATTGAAATGAGGAGGAGTTGTGTTATTTGCTACTGGTTTTGTTGTTGATGATTTTTATGAGATTAGTTTGTCCTTGTTGTTGAAGGTCTTGGAGAGAGAGTTGAGAAAAGGTTAAATAGGGGACTATGGAGTTAGGCCTTGCTCTTAGGCACCGTCGGGTTGTGTAGGAGAGAGAGAGAGAGAGAGAGAGAGAGAGAGAGAGAGAGAGAGAGAGATAGTAGTATTATAGTGTAGTTCGTTGTTCGTAGCGAGAGAGAGAGACGTCTCGTAGTAGTTACGGTCGGTCGGGCGGGAGGGGTAGGGGTTAGG